AAGGAGTTTTATAATGAATCTGTAATTASGATTTATAATTTCACCATTGAAATGTGACTCCTTATTGCATAGAGAATGACTTCCACTCACAACTGCATTTTGCAAATCATTTCAACTCATGTTTACGTATGCAAGTACTTCCCTTAAATCTGTGGGAGTAATACCAAAAACAATCTGTTTGCAGTCCCTGAGAGCTAACATCATCATGTGCAGCAGCTGAATTCAGCTCACCTCATATCCCACAACAAGGATGAATTTATTCCAATAACCTGGAATAAATTCTCTATTTCACATAGAAGCACGGGAAATATTACRGCAGATTTATTTAATATTACAGCAGACAAAATTTGTATTTTGAAGGGTTTATCTAAGGTGAAAGCCCCAACAATCTAAAACTTGATCACACTATTTCCTGCCCAGATTGGAGCACTTAAAATCTCGAAATAATAATCCTTTTGTAAGAGTATGTTAATATACTCTTTATATATTCCTTATTCTTTCTAGAAACATTCTTAAAAATAATTATTCTGTAAAGAAACCTCTGTAAAGAACTGTTAATTAAGGTGTTTGAACAAGCCCCTCTAGAAAGGATCCAGACTGACTGTAGTCAGCAGGAGTAAGTGACTTTTGTAGGTCCCTTTTAACAGAAATTTCTATTCTATTCTATTCTATTCTATTCTATTCTATTCTATTCTATTCTATTCTATTCTATTCTATTCTATTCTATTCTATTCTTATTCTATTCTATTCCATTCCATTCCATTCCATATGAGGAATTCATAATGAAGGATTCATACCGCAGTGCAAACATTGCTATATTCCCGTGGAAACTGGGAGGAAAGAACTTCTACAACAATGGATTTCTTCTCTTGACTTTAATCTCTGAAGCTGCTACTGCTTCGAAGCTCATGCAATCACAACATCTTTACAGGTCTTTCACATGAAACAATCCTTCCTCACACACAAATGTGCGCAATGAGAGCTTTTTCATAATTAGAAGTGATGGGCAGTCTAAATGGAGTACTGTTGGCTCTACGTACAATTAAAAACAACTACAACAGCCATTGTGCTTTCTTCGAGTTTCTTTAGAAATAGTTTCTCAGGCTGCAGTTTGGAAACTAAATACAGTAAGTATTAGGTTTTATTTAGGACAATAAATGAACATGGCATCTTTGTGTCAAAAGCTTTGAGAAGTATAAATACCACAAGGTCCTGCCAGYAAATGGTGTATATTGTAAGACTGCATTCCTGTGGGTTCTCCTGCCTGATCTGAGGAAACATGACCCGGGCATCCACTCTGGACACAGGAAAATTTTGTCCTCCCTCTGGTCTCTGCCAAAATCTTTGTTCTGGAAGTGTGCTTAACCATTTCACCTTGACTCGTTTTTCTCTACTGTTTTCTGTTCTAATTAGATTACAAACTCTGTGTTTGGTAAAACACCTGGCATGAAGGGTCACTTTTCTCAATTAACCCACTAAATGCTGCCAAAATGCAAATCACACCCATGCACCCTAATGGGATGCATGAGTTTCATCTTCATGTTACACAGGAGGGACTATGCGGGACACTTGAATTTAGCACTGAGAGGGTGCAAAATGGGAATCTGAGGGGGAGTGGCAGGGAATAGGACTGAGCAGTGGGTGAGAACTATGGGAAAGTAAATTAAACTTCTGCTAAAACCAGCTGGAGACTCCAAATCTGAAAGGYGGTAGCTGCTTTTCTTGGCCACCATTTACACACCCTGCTGTGGCATGTGCCCACACCCCCCACAATATTGTATATCGGAGGGTGAGCAAAAGAACTTTTCAGCCCAAGGGACGCATGAGCTGTAATCTCACCTTTTGACTGCTGGCAAATATGCATGTTTTCCACAACTTCTGATAATGATCCATCTTTGCAGACTTTCTCTAGGGTGGGATTTAAGGGAGATGATGGTTACTRGATACAAGGATTCACTTGACTCACCATGTTTCCTATGTGCTGAATGATTCTATTTAAATCCTAAGATTCCCATTGCAGACTCTCCTGTTACAGGAATGCACCCCCAATTTCCAATAAGAGGGACAGAATTCTGCCCTGTGAAAGAATGGACATCTTTCACTTCCCAGTTGCAACAGGATCTGCAATCATCGAACTATTCAGCTCACACCACCAGACGTCCTGATTCTTTATTTGTGTTTTACACAAATGACAAATGTTTACTGTGTTTTCTTCTAAGAAATGGGCCATATAAAAGCAGCCTGGTCCACCTGCTCACTAAATGGAGTGAGCACTGGTTGTGGATCTAAAGCTGTGGCCCGCAAGGGCTGGTGTGAAAAAGACTCCAAATAAACAAAAAATGCTGAGACATCTGAAAATACTGTGCGTTGCTGGACGGGTTCCTGAAATAGTTCTGAGAGAACTAGTACTACCAAAGGCAGCRTGGCCCTGTCAGTGCAGTTTTTCTCTGCAGGATGAATTATCCAGGGCTCTGTGCCTCACTAATGCAGTTGTATCGATTTTGAGACCTTGCTAGTCTGGGTATCCTTACACAGCACAACGCTCTGTGTGTGTGTGTGTGTATTCTTAGTGCTCATTCTCAAGAGAAGCAATTAAGGTGTCACTGGATCTTAATTGTCTCCATAGAGGATGTTTTCTTTAAAGCCCTGTTTGTTTGAAAAACAAAGCAAAACATATTGCTTAAGTTTTATTTTCAGCCCTCCACAGGGAATTCTGCAGCACTGTGTATGTAATTTACAAATTATCACACCATTTATTTTTAGAACCAACTACWTCAGTGATGTAAAGAAATTCACCAGGGTCTAAAGGAAACAGATCTGACCCACAGCTCTTAGAACTGCTGGGTGGTGAACACACGTGGAGGGAGCAGAAAAGCCCTGGTCAAGTGGTGTGGACTAAAGGGATCAAAGCCCAYGTCTGTGCCAGCCAGGAGCAGATCTGTGGGCAGGGTGAGAAGCTCAGAGCCCAACACCAGCCCCAAACATGGGGAAGCAGTCACTGAGGACTGGGCTTYGCTCCAGCCCCAAGAGTGGGAGCACATGAGCATCAATTTCAGGTCAACTTCATCTGAAAAGCAAAATAAAAAATAAATAAGTAAATAAGGAGTCCTCWGGGAAGCCCTGCTGACCCCTGAGGGCARAGGTSCAGTGGAMRGCAATGAGGATGATTGGGGACTGAACATTTCTGTCACGATGAGGAAAGRAGCTGGGCCTGCCAACCCTTGAGAAGAGATGGCTGAGAGGCAACCTCATCAATGTGCAAAAAATTCTAAAGGGGGATGACAAGATGAAGCCAGGGTCTTCTTGACRGTGCCAAGCAATAGAACCATAGAATGGTTTGGGTTGGAAGGGACCCTAAAGAGCATTTTATTCGATCCCCCTGCCATGGGCAGCRACACCTTCCCCTAAATTAGGTTGCTCCAGGCCTTGCCCAACCTGGACTTGRACACTGCCAAGGATAAGGCAGCCACAGCTTCTCTGACCAACCTGTGCCAACGCCTCACCACCCTCAAAATGTATTTTTATTTCCTAGTATCTTATCTAAACCTACTCTTGCGATCTGAACCCATTCCCCCTTGCCCTGTGACTACATCCTCTTGTAAATAAATAGTCTTGCCTCATCTTTCCGGTAAGTTCCCTTCCAGTACTGCAAGGCCGCATTTTTGTCACCCCAAAGCTTCCCTTTTCCAGGCTGAACAATCAATCCCTTTTGGAGGAGAGGTGCTCCATCCTTCTGGACGGGCAAGACCACAGGGGACAGCACAGGAAGTTCCACCTGAGCGCGAGGAAGAACTTCTTTTTGGAACAGAGTGCCCGGAGAGGGTGCGGAGTCTCCCTCAGTGGAGACTTTCCAGAGCTCCGGGCAGCTCTGCGGTCCCGGCTGACCCTCTGTGGTTCCTCAGAGCCCGAAACGTGCACCCACAGCCCTGGGAGTGCGCACCCACAGCTCGGGAACCTCACCCACAGCCCCGGAGCACGCACAGACAGCTCAGGAGCGCGCACCCACAGCCCCAGAGCGCGCACGCACAGCCCGGGAGCGCGCACCCACAGCCCCGGGAGCGCGCACCCACAGCCCGGAGTGCGCACCCACAGCGCCGGAGCACGCACCCACAGCCCCGGGAGCGCCCACACACAGCCCCGGGAGTGCTCCACACAGCCCCGGGAGCGCGCACACACAGCCCCGGGAGTGCTCCACACAGCCCCGGGAGCGCGCACACACAGCCTCAGGAGCGCGCACCCACAGGCTCGAGAACGCGCACCCACAGCCCCGGGAGCGCGCACCCACAGCCCGAGAGCGTGCACCCACAGCCCCGGGAGTGCGCACCCACAGCCCAGGAGCGCGCACACACAGCCCCGGGAGCGCGCACACACAGCTCGGAGCGCGCACCCACAGCCCCGGGAGCGCGCACACACAGACCGGGATCGCGCACAGACAGTCAGGAGCGCGCACCCACAGCCCCGGGAGCGCTCACACCCAGCCCCGGGAGCGCGCACCCACAGCCTCGGGAGCGCTCACACCCAGCCCCGGGAGCGCGCACACACAGCCGCGGGAGCGCGCACACACAGCCCCGGGAGCGCGCACCCACAGCCCCGGGAGCGTTCACACAGCCCCGGGAGCGCGCACACACAGNACCCACAGCTCGGGAACCTCACAGATAGCCCCGGGAACGCGCACCCACAGCCCCGGGAGCGCGCACCCACAGCCCCGGGAGTGCGCACCCACAGCCCCGGGAGCGCTCAGCCACAGCCTCGGGAGCGCGCACCCACAGCCCGGGAACGCGCACCCACAGACCGGGATCGCGCACAGACAGCTCAGGAGCGCGCACTCACAGCCCCGGGAGCGCGCACCCACAGCCCCGGGAGTGCACACACACAGCTCGGGAGCGCGCACCCACAGCCCCGGGAGCGCGCACACACAGCCCCTCGCAGCCCCGCCCCGCGCGCGTTCCCGGATGGAAGCGGCGCGTCCCGCGGCCGCGTGACCGCTCCCTCCCGGAAGTGCGGCGGGAGCGGGAGCGGGGCCGTGCGGAGCCGGGAGCTGCGGAGCGCGGGGCGGGCACGGCCGGGAGCAGCGGGACTCGGCGCGGGCAGCGATGCGGCTCCACCGCCGCCCGGGCTCGCCGCCTTCGCCTCCCGCCGGGCGCCGGTGACCGTCACAGCATCCCCGCCCCGGCGGAATGAGCCCCGCCGCGCCGCCCCGCCAGCGCCGCGATCCGGTACGTGCCGGGCTGGGGGTGCGGGTGCGGGTGCGGGTGCGGGGGGAACAGCCTTTGTTGTGCCCTGGGGCCCCGGGGCAGCGCCGGGAGGTGCCGCGGGTAGGCCGGGCCGGGGCGGGCTCTGCGCGGTCCGGAGATCCGGCGGTCCCTGCCTCAGGCTCCTGCAGGCCCTGGGTGAGCGCTGCCCGCCGCTCGGCCGCGGAGAGAGAGCCCCGCCGAACAGCGCCCTGCTTTCCGCCGTGCCCTCCTTACCCACCCCCAGTGCAGTTTGTTTTGGGAAGTTCGCGTCTTGTAAGAAAGCAAAAAAAAGGGGGGGGTGGGGAGCGGGTGTGTGGAGGTGGGTTGGTTGGTTGGGAGGTTGTTTGCCGTGTCTGGGCTGCGGCAAAGTTTGGGGACGCTGTAGCAGGGAGTGAGTGGATGGTGTGTGAGGAAAGCTCCCCTTGATTCACCGGGCTGCGTGCACCATCTTAGACGTGGTCAGGAAGTGGAGTTGACTCAGGCTGGGTTTCACCTGATGATGTCGTCTGCTGAAATTCCCGGGAGTCCGGGGGAAATTTGCATCACACTTGGCTCTTCGAGGGCAGAAGTAGGTGAGAAAGGCCGTAAAGAACGGAAAACAACAAAACAAAGGGAACGGCGTGAGCGGTATCGATGAGCTCTCGGTATTTTGTTAACTGTAGGATACTGAATTCAGCAATCTGTTTTAAAACGTAGCCTTGCTTTGTGAATGTATTCTTCAGTTCTTTTTTAAAACGTTGTTATGAGCTATAAAAATCCTATTTGAACAAAAAGGATTGTTTCGAACCTCCTGCCAGGAAGAACAATCTGTGACATAGTCAAGCTGGGTCCTTCCTTATTCTTATCAGTTCTGCAGAAAGCATTATTTTGATGGATATCCCATATGGTTACAGGAATTTTTACCACAGTGGTTCTGAGCTAAGTCATTGTATGACTGCCAAGGCATTTTGTTTTAACCATAATTTTAAAAAAAAAGGTTGAAAAAAAATCCCTTTTTCTGTTTTTAGTAAAAGCTTTATTATTTCTGGCAATAAATATTCCTTTTTAGGGARGCACTTAGCAGTTACTGTCACTTCTGAAAGTATTTTAACCTGGCTTCTCTCTCTGGGCCTTCTGGGATGTGTGGCCAGAACAACCATAAATGTTTGTGAAGGATTTCCAGTGTGTGTCTATTGCATGGTATTTCCCCCTCACTCTGTAAAAGGATATTTGCTCAGGAAAGGGAAAATAATTTTTTAAACAATATGCCTTTTGTATATAAAGCTGCAAACTTGTCAGGCTCTGATACATCAGCAGAAACTGCTTTTAACTCTCTTCTGGAAATCTGAGATTTTAGATATCCAGAAATATCCTTGGTGTTATATTCCCTCGAAACAGCTTTCTGCCAAACTTTTAASTTTGGTACTTTGCAGTCTTCTTTTAAACTGTCAGTGAAAATAAAGTATTACGTTCTGTACTTGCATAGGTGGCGCAAGCTACTTGTTGCTATTAAAAACTTGTATATGCTATAGACAAATATGAAATGAATTTGAAAAGCCACCAAGTTCTTTCTTCTGGCCCTAGTCACTGATTTCAACTTTCAGTGCATGCTGCTAACAGTTTTGCATGTTCAATTAAAATGGCATCTTATAAAAATACTTTTTTTCCTCTCTTTTTTTTTTTCTCTAGGTTGTGTTTCTCTGTTGATTTTTGTGCCTTTGAAAGCACCTAAACATAAATATACRGGAGAGAGAATGAAACCAGTTGTCATTATCAACATAAGTTAGAGTGGAGAARAAATAGCTGAGGACAGCAATAGGTAACAGTTGA